GGGGGGGTTTAACATAGGTGGGGAAATATTTTTAATAAAAGATTAGAAATAGAATCCAGAGAAAAATATTCCAGTGTATTGTTCTTTGTGGAATATAGAGTAGTGGTAATGCTTGCCCATAATATATTCATCTAGTTCAAATATTAAGGTGCACAAACTGATGAAATATATTACACATGGATGTATCATAAACCTAACAAGGAAATGCTTAGGCCTGCTCTTTTCGTGATTTGGTAAAACCCCTACAAATCTTGAATCACTTTAAAACTAGAGAATGGGATACACACAAGTGAGTACATAAAGTACTTGTAAAACGACAGTGGCCCTGGCCACTTTGGCTCAGTGGTTAGTGTTGGCCTGTACCTCAGTTGCAGGCTCCATCCCTAGGCCCAATCTGGCCCATGCAGGAGGCAACCAATCAATATGTCTCTCACAGTGATGTCTCTCTCCCCCTCCCGTCTACTCTGAAAAGCAATGGAAAAAATATCCTCAGGTGAAGATTAAAAAAAAAAACAGTGGATGTCTTACATATATCTCTAAAATGGTATATCCTATTCATAGGAAACGTGTATGGCAAAAGAACAGCTAGAGGGATCAAACCAACTTAAGGAGAATTGGGTGGTGAAGCCCAATACATTATTCCAATTTTTATTTTTTCCATTTTTTTTTATTCCAATACATCTAAATCTTCACTGAAGTTGAAAGGCCTGATGTTTTGCAACCACATAGAGCTGAATTGTAGACCTGGTTCTCAATGTGGTTCCTAGATCAGCAAAGTCACCTAGGAACTTAGAAATGCAATTTTTTTATATGCCACTCCAAACCTATTAAATTCTGGGGGTGAGGCCCAGCAATGTTCTAAGTACTCCAGGTGAGTCCAATGCATACTCAGGTTGGAGAACTGCCTTTCATTACGCCTCTGCATCATTTTTACCAGACCCTTCTGTAAAAAGATGAGTAAACAAGCTGATAGCATTTTTCAACCAATTTTAAAAGTATATTCTTTAAAGCTGTAACTGAATTAAAACTAATATGCTTGATATACTGACAACATATTTTGCTCTTTGAGGAAGCAATTTTAGAGGCCCTGTTGGAAAACTTAGAGTAGGTTTGATGCAGTGGCAACACTTTAAATTGTTCTTATAAGTAAAAATATAACCTATTGCAAAATAAGTCTACAGGTGATAGAAATTAACTATTTCATTAGTATTTACCAATATAGCATATACATTCTCTACATACTATCTCCACAAAAGAAAAAATTCTTTTTAGAAATTAGAAAAAAGCTGACTCTTTGACAAACTATTTTTAACAGTACATGTTAACTTTTTTGCAGTTACTATTGAATTCACAAGCTTTTACTTGTTCTGTCCCTACCTAGGCGGTCATTCATTATCTTTGTACAGTAGATGTAGAACTGGTTCTCAAGTTTGGCTGCATATTAGAATCACTTGGGAAGCTTTAAAGACATACAGGTGATTTCAAAGTGCAGCCAAGGTTGAGAACTACCATCTTATTTCAGCAACCAGTTTCTCACTCAAAATGGTACAGTAGCTTAAGAAGTTTGAACAGCCTTGGCCAGTTTGGCTTAGTGGTTAGAGCATCGGCCCAAAGACCAAGGGGTCTCAGGTTCAATTCCCAGTTAAGGTTATGTACCTGGGTTACAGGATCTAAGTTCAGGAGGCAACCGGTAGATGTGTCCCACATCAATGTTTCTCCCCACCTCCCTCCCTCCCACCCTCTCTAAAAATCAGTGGAAAGAATATCCTCTGGTGAGGATTAACAACAACAACAAAAAGCACAAAATAAATATTTAACATTAAAGTTTGAACATATGCTGGATTTGATCAAGTATGGTGTCATGCTGAATATCCTCATGTCAACTGCCCTGGAATAATCTAGGTTGCCTCTGTTGTTACACTGTCAATACTTTCTCATTGAGAAATCATTCTTCACAAAATGAATCTGCTTTGAAAATGGATTGGATTTCTTGGGACTTTTAAGGCACTACAAACCCTTTGGAGACATTTTAGATGCCAAAATCAGTGATTCTCAACACAGGATGCACATCAGGAACTTTTAAAAGCTACAATGGTGAGGTCCTATCCTCAATCCATTAAATCAGAATCTCTGATTTGGGGTGGTGAGGGTGGGGGGTGG